ACACAGGCAATTATACACGACTTCCAATTTTTCTTTACAATAGTTATAAGCCATAATACTGAACCTATGACCAAAACATTATTCCGAAATTAAACCCACACTTCTTGTATTGTCCCATTTTCCTTGCAACACTAGTTGTGAATTGTAGGAGCCTCTTGTACTGATCATCCATGCATCCCAAGGAAAACATTTCAGGCTTTAACTGAACTTTCAATCCCTTCTGGATTGAACAATGCCTGTTTGGTCTTCCTTCATAATTGGATAGAGACAAGCTCTCAAAGTATATATATATATATATTTAACTAAACAGAACATCCAAGGCTTTGTTTTCTAAACATCTTCCATTTACAAAGGAAAAAAGAGGAGACGACATTTCTGGAATGGCTGGGGATCGAGTCCAATATCCGTTTTAATCTGTTTCCTAGATCTGTATAGTTCAGAGGTCCTCAAACTTTCTAAATAGAGGACCGGTTTACGGTCCCTCATGTAGAGGGTTGTAAATATAAATAAACAGAAGCTTTACCACAGTTTCTGAACCAGGATATACCCTGAAGTATAATAAAGTGTCACTTGGGCTTGTGTAACAAGTAACAGTATCTTTACTTCAGTTCAAAAGGTTAAACAGGGCAACAATATATACAGCAGTCTCTCTTGAATTCACACAGAGAACAGAGGGAATAAATAGTCCTTTTTAAACTGTGTTTAAATATATGCTTCATGCCTTAGAAATAATCAGGCTTCAGAGAGCTGGCAGCCGTTTCCTTCCTGGCTGTTTCCAGTCAGCACTCTCTTCACTCTCCAGGGTGAAAACAGCAGTTAAAACCGTTTGTCTCAGCAGCAAGCCAGAGACAGCAGCCAATCAGAACTCTGGCTCCTGGCATGCTCAGCCAATCAGCTTTTGACACATGTCTTTCCAGTCAATCCATTTATATCACGGCGCCTTTTACAAATCCCTACACCTCAGACTATTGGAGGGCCGAACTATAGCTCCCTGTTGTTATTGCGAAATCAAGCTTCCTCAGGTGAATTATAATTTTACATTCTCATGAAAGACACTTTGCATCCCTTTCTACAGATTGTATGCATGTATCCTTTCTCGATGGTGGGTTAGTGTCTATAATTCCACATACTTCTATGACACTCTGCTGAATCTATGTTGTTATTGCAAGTGTCAACTGCTATATACAGTGTAGACTTGTATTGAGTGAAATTTTGGAGTCCTCGTGGACAACAAGTTAAACAAGAGCCAGGGATGTGATGCGCCGGCAAAAAAAGCCAATGGGATTTTGGCCTGCATCAATAGGAGCATAGTGTCTAGGTCCAGGGAAGTCATGCTCCCCATGCTCTATTCCGCTTTGGTTAGACCACACCTGGAATATTGTGTCCAATTCTGGGCACCACAATTCAAGAGAGATATTGACAAGCTGGAATGTGTCCAGAGGAGGGCGACTAAAATGATCAAGGTCTGGAGAACAAGCCCTATGAGGAGCGGCTTAAGGAGCTGGTGGGCATGTTTAGCCTGAAGAAGAGAAGGCTGAGAGGAGATGATAGCCATGTATAAATATGTGAGAGGAAGCCACAGGGAGGAGGGAGCAAGCTTGTTTTCTGCTTCCCTGGAGTTTAGGCAAGGAACGATGGCTTCAAACTACAAGAAAGGAGATTCCATCTGAACATGAGGAAGAACTTCCTGACTGTGAGAGCCGTTCAGCAGTGGAACTCTCTGCCCCGGAGTGTGGTGGAGGCTCCTTCTTTGGAAGCTTTTAAACGAGGCTGGATGGCCATCTGTCAGGGGTGCTTTGAATGCAATATTCCTGCTTCTTGGCAGAATGGGGTTGGACTGGATGGCCCAGGAGGTCTCTTCCAACTCTTTGATTCTATGATTCTATGAAATACACATAGTACAAAATATACAATTATCACACTTGCAAAGTCTAAACCGATTGTGTTCTCCGTGCTCTTCGGGTCAACATATTGTTTTTACAAGCTGAAAGTTTATGCTTGGAATACACATTGTTTAAGTTAGGAACTACTCTGTTATATTTATTATTTATTCATTGTTTATTTACTGCATTTATATACTGTCCCTCTCGGCCCGCAGGCGACTCGGGATGGTTTACAGTTGTACTGAGCATTACCATTGTAATTGTATATTTTGTACTATGTGCATTTCACCCAATATAAGTCTACACTGTAGATAACTTTGTTTACTATTGATATATCTTTCTAAGGATTGCATTAATCAGTAAAATTCCATTGTTAAGTAGCCTTCTGCGCATGCTTGTAAGGTGCTATAACTGGAAGTCCACCTCAGTTGGGGGTGTGGCTGTTCCTTACTCAGCGTGAGCCGACACTGTCACCACAATTTTGCAAATAGTGAAGCTCAGGCGCAGAAACTAACATATGTGCAGTTCACAGTTGACCACGATGGGAAACCAAATCTACTGTCTTGTCTCTTCCTTCAGCTGCGCCAAAATGAACTTGACAAGCTGATTTCCCCAACAATAGATACCAAATTATCTGTGTTGTTGTTGTTCATTCGTTCGGTAGTTTCCAACTCTTCGTGACCTCATGGACCAGTCCATGCCAGAGCTCCCTGTCGGCTGTCACCACCCCCAGCTCCTTCAAGGTCAATCTAGTCACTTCAAGGATGCCATCCATCTATCTTGCCCTTGGTCGGCCCCTCTTCCTTTTTCTTTCCATTTTCACACATGATTTCCTCTTTAAGCAGTCAATTTCAAATGTATGTCAACTAGTTATGGGTCCGCAATTTATCTCATCTGTTCGATTCATGTTTCCATTTCGTTCCATCCATTTGAATGGCACAGAACGGGAAGGACCCTCCTGGAATGAAAACAAACTCGATACGAAAGGTAGGCGGGAGCGGGTACTGTCTCCAAGCCTGCTTTTCGGATTGATTAATGTGCCCAAAGGCCCAAAGCGCTGGGGATTGGCAGAGCCTAGTGCTGAGTAATGAGCGCTCCTTACTTGGCACTTGGCTGCAGGCACTGCCAGGCCCGAGCACATCGGTCCAAAGACTGCACCCGTAGGCCCATGCACTTTGGGCCTATGGGTGAAGTGTCCGTCCCCCCAATAATGGCCCAAAAGAAAATGGATCTGGGTCGTTGCAGTTTTTTTCGGGCTATACGGCCATGGTCTAGAGCAGTGTTTCTCAACCTGGGGGTCGGGACCCCTGTGGGGGTCACGAGGGGGTGTCAGAGGGGTTGCCAAAGACCATCAGAAAACATAGTATTTTCTGTTGGTCATGGGGGTTCTGTGTGGGAAGTTTGGTCCAATTCTATTGTTGGTGGGGTTCAGAATGTTATTTCATTGTAGGTGAACTATAAATCCCAGCAACTACAACTCCCAAATGTCAAGATTCTATTTTCCCCAAACTCCACCAGTGTTCACATTTGGGCACATTGAGTATTTTTGTAGAGTTTGGTCCAGATCCATCATTTGAGTCCACAATCATCTTTGGATGTAGGTGAACTACAACTCCAAAACCAAAGGACACTGCCCACCAAACCCTTCCAGTATTTTCTGTTGGTCATAGGAGAACTGTGTGCCAAGTTTGGTTCAATTCCATTTTCTCTTGGCCATGGGAGTTCTGTGTGCTAAGTTTGGTTCAATTTCATCATTGGCAGTGTTCAGAATGCTCTTTGATTGTAGGTGAACTATAAATCCCAGCCACTACAGCTCCCAAACCAATCCCCCCAAAACCCACCAGTATTCAAATTTGGGCATATTGGGTATTTGGGATTTGAAAATACATCCTGCATATCAGATATTTACATTATGATTTATAACAGTAGCAAAATTACAGTTACAAAGTAGCAATGAAAATGTTATGGTTGGGGGTCACCACAACATGAGGAACTGTACTAAGGGGTCGCAGCATTCGGGCTATATGACCACGGTCTAGAGGCATTTCTCCTGACGTTTTGCCTGCATCTATGGCAAGCATCCTCAGAGGTACCTCACTACCTCTGAGGATGCTTGCCATAGATGCAGGCGAAACGTCAGGAGAGAATGCCTCTAGACCATGGCCATATAGCCTGACAAAACCTACAACAACCCAGTGATTCCAGCCATGAAAGCCTTTGACAATACAGAAAATGGATCTTTCAGTACTGAAAACGTAAAACAAATACAGTGTTCCCTCACTTATTGCGGAGGTTACGTTCCAGGACCTCCCGCAATAAGTGAAAAACTGCGATGTAGGGACACTATATTATTTTAATATTTATACATTATTTTAGTAGTTATACACTATTTTAAGTCTTTATAAACTTAAAATAAAGTGAAGGAAAGGAAGGAAAGGCCCTTCAAGGCTGGAGGGAGGGAGGACTGAGGAGGGAAAGCGCCTCGGAGAGCGGCGGCGGCAGCAAAAACCCGCGAAACAGCGTAAATACCACAACATATATTTTAAATTAATATTTTTTGAAAACCGCGAAACAGCAAGTCCGCTAAAAGCGAACTAGCGAGGGAACACTGTATCTGCCCTCTCGATTTCGGGAGGCTCAGTTGAAATGAATAAAAGGCCCCCACTGAAAGCAGGGACATGAAACAGATCAAAGTTTACCCCGAATGCACATGACTAATGGCAACCAAGGCATTGAAAGGACCAAGGCAGAGACATCTCCAGCTCATCCCTGTTTGGGTATCAGCCAGCACGTCAACGACTTAAATCAAGAAATAGTTTTATAAGATCTACAGAGACACTCACTGGAACACCCCAGCAAGCGAGAGTCCAAAAGTGGCAGGCTCAAACCCAGAACCTCAACCAATGGCTGATACCCAATGAGAGACTCCCCCCTGGGCACACAGAGGACTGGGAGACTTGGAAGGCCCTGAACAGACTGTGCTCTGGCACCACGAGATGCAGAGCCAACCTTCAGAAATGGGGCCACAAAGTGGAATCCACGACATGCGAGTGGGGAGAGGGGCATACCACTGACCACCTGCTGCAATGCACCCTGAGCCCTGCCACATGCACAAGGGAGGACCTCCTTGCGGCAACACCAGAGGCACTCCAAGGGGCCAGATACTGGTCAAAGGACATCTAATCAACTTCCATGCTTGCAAACTTTGTGTTTTGTCTGTCTGTTTGTTTTGTTAAAAATGTAATACAAATGTCTGGTTGCTCCTGACACAATAAATAAATAAATAAATGGCAACTCAGCTTCCTTTTCTAGCAAAACTTGGCCAACATGCCATCTAACTCTATTTTGTCCCTCCTAAGCATCTCAATAACCAGGTATATAGGTAGAATAGGATATGACTTATCAGATATGCTGGAAAGAAGTCATATAGCTCTTTATAAGTCATGGCCAATTGTCTCCGGAAGCAAATTGGCATCCGACAAAGCTGTTGATGCAGGGGAGTTGCGTGACCTGGAACCCTTTTCTGGCTTCTCCCCTGAGTGAGTTTTTAGATGCCTGGTGCATGACCCACTATCAATGAAACCCTTCCCACATTCCAGGCATTTATAAGGCTTCTCCCCTGTGTGGGTCCGCTGATGCACCTTCAAGGAGCTGCCATTCGTGAAGCCTTTCCCGCACTCCATGCACTGGAAGGGCTTCTCCCCTGTGTGGGTTCTCTGGTGCAAAGTAAGGTTCCCGCTCTGGCTGAAGCTCTTCCCACACTCCATGCATTTGAAGGGCTTCTCTCCTGTGTGGGTCCTTTGATGCAAATGGAGGCTTCCACGCTGGGTGAACCTCCTCCCACATTCCATGCACTCATGCGGTTTCTCCCCCGTGTGCGTCCTTTCATGTGCGATACACGACTCGCTATCTCCAAAGGTCTTTCCACATTCCATACATTTGTACGGTTTCTCCTCTGTGTGAGTTTGTTGGTGTTTGAGCCACAAACCGCGTTCGCTGAAGTCCTTTCCACACTCCTTGCATTTGTGGGGTTTCTCCCCTGTGAATGTTTTTGGACGGCTTGTGCATTCTCCCTTAGGATGGGCACTCGTTCCACAATCCGCGCAAGGTTTCTCCCCTGCGTGGCTTTTTTGGTGTACAGCCAGGTTCCTGCTCCGATTGAAGCCCTTCCCACATTCCAAGCACTTGAACGGTTTCTCCCCGGTGTGGATCCGTTGATGCACCGTCAAGCTTCCGCTCCGACTGAAGCTCTTCCCACAATCCGTGCATTTAAAGGGTTTCTCCCCGGTGTGGGTCCTTTGGTGTACAATCAGAATTTCGCTCCGGCTGAAGCTCTTCCCACACTCCACGCATTTATAAGGCCGCTCCCCAGTGTGGATCCTTTCATGCATCTTCAATGTGCTGCGGTTACTGAACCGCTTTCCGCACTCCATGCACTGGTACGGTTTTTCCCCGGTGTGGGTTCTCCTGTGCAGAGTCAGGTTGCCACTCTGGTTGAAGCCTTTCCCACATTCCAAGCACCTGAATGGTTTCTCTCCTGTGTGGGTCCTCTGATGCGCATGGAGGCTTTCGCGTTGATTGAAGCTCCTTCCACATTCCACGCATTGATAGGGTCGCTCCCCGACGTGGCTTCTTTGACGGCTAGCGCATTCCCCCTTTCTGCAGCTCATTCCACACTCCAAGCATTTATAAGGTCGATCCCCTGTATGGGTTGCTTCCTGCGAAGTACTGCAATCGCACAATCCATTTCCACACTCCTTGCACTGACGTGGTTCCTCTCCCGTGTGAGTTCTCTGGTGTAAAGTCAGGTGGCTACTCTGGCTGAAGCTCTTCCCACACTCCAAGCATTTGAACGGCTTCTCTCCGACATGAGTCCTTTGATGTGCGTACAGACTTTCCCGCTGAGTGAACCTCCTCCCACATTCCGCGCACGGATAGGGTTTCTCCCCTGTGTGGGTCCTTTCGTGTTTCAGACACGACCCACTGCTCACAAAGGCCTTCCCACACTCCATACATTTATAGGGTTTCTCCCCTGTGTGGATCCTTTGGTGTTTAATACATGAGCCGCTATCAATAAACCCTTTGCCGCAAAACATGCATCGATGGGGTTTCTCCCCTGTGTGAGTCCTTTGATGCGAACGCAGATTGTGGGACCACCTGAAGCTCTTCCCACATTCCATGCATTTGTAGGGTTTATCCCCTCGGCAAGTTCTTTGGTGCCTAGTGAAGGCTTTCTTATTAGGGAGACTCGTTTCGCATTCTGTGCACTGATATGGTTTCTCTCCTATGTGCTTCCTCTGATGGATCCTCAGGGCACAGTTAGCTGTGAAGTCCTTTCCACATTCCACGCACTGATAATGCCCGTCTCCTGTGTGTTTCCTCTGATGTACCACAAGAGCGGAATTTGCTGTGAAGCTCTTCCCGCACTCCATGCACTGATACGGTTTCTCTCCTGTGTGGACTCTTTCATGTATTGTAAGGGCAGACCTTTTGATAAAGCTCTTTCCACATTCCGGGCATTTATAGGGTTTCCCGGAGTGGAGCTTTTGGTGCGAATGTAAGCACGAGAGCTGGCCGAAGCTCTTCCCACAGTCTGTGCATTTGTAGGGCTTCTCCCCTGAGTGGACTCTCCAATGGATAACGAACTGAGATTTAAATCTGAACAGTTTCCCACAGACAGGACACGCTTGGTGGTGACTTTCTGGAGGGTCCTGGGTTTCGCTATTCTCGGCCCTCTGAGAAGTCGATGGCTTCTTCTTTCCTTTCTTGGATCGGTCCCTTTGGACATTCGGTTCACTTCCTAATCTCTCTTTTCCTGCTTTGTGCCTGGTTGCCTCTGGGGGGAACATGTCTTCTTCCTCGTCACCTCCTGGACCAAAAAGGGAAAGAAAAATCTCATTTGCCACTGAATATGGAAAACAGTGTTGCACTCCAGGACAGGAAAAGCCCTCTGACTGTAAACACAACAGCGTTGATGGGGAAACAATCCTTTTATTGAAGATAATGTATATACTCGAGTATAAGCCTAGTTTTTCAGTCCTTTTTGGCTGAAAAAGTCTCCTCCGGTTTATACTCGAGACAATGTCATTTATTATTTTACTATGTTGTTATTATTATTACATTTATTGTTTTATTATTGTTGTTATTACATTTATTGTTTTACTCTATTTATTATTGATATTGTTACATTTATTATTTTACTGTATTGTTATAATTACATTTATTATTTTACTCTATTATTACTGTTATTACTATCAGAGTGAGACCTTCCGGTCTGGCACAGCGGACTTGAGGTTCCCAAAACACACAGACTCAATTACCACACTGCAGTCTTCTTTAGTTTCAAAAACAACAAACTTTACTGACAGCATTTTCTATAAGCGACTACATTTTTCAGATGAAAAATGGCGACAGACAAAAGTACAGGACTAAACAGACAGACAAAGAAACATCTGCCCTCCTGTCTTATCTGTCTCCTAGCTGGTTAACTCCCTTTTCTTCTCACGGCAAAGGAAAAGTCTTATCTAACTTTAGCCAAGGTCTTAACTCTCTGGCCTATAACAATAATAATCTACTACACGAATGAACAAGAATGAACATGACTGAAACCATCTTGAATTACATTATTAACACATTGAAAAACATACATATAATATTTGCAATTATCCTGACAATTACTACATTCCATTGTTTTACTCTATTATTATTATTATTATTATTATTATTATTATTATTTTACTCTATTTATCATTATTGGAGGACATGTAAGCATATTTACATTGAAGAAGGTTAGAATAATGGTTTAATCAGAGTTGGACAGTCTTATCTTGAATTACAGTTTTTATGTAAATATTCAAAAACATTTAACCTACTGATGCCTAAATTAATATAATTTTATTGGTATCTGTTTACCAGTAGCTGCTGCATTTCCCATCCTCAGCTTATATTCAAGTCAATCCATTTTCCCATTTTTTGTGTAAAAATTAGGTGCCTCGGCTTATATTCTGGTCGGCTTAAACTCAAGTATATACGGTAATTAAAAAGCAAAAAGTAAAAAGCACTTTAAAGAAATAGGTAAATCCAATTAGGTAAGAAGATAAGCAGGAGCAAAAATAGTCCAGAGTAAACGTCAGCAAAGTCCATAAAAACAAAGTCCACACTTCTCTAATATAATTCGGGAAAAACAGGGAACATTAATCCAAGGCATAAGTAGGCATTCATACATTCGAAAAGTCCAAACCATAAACAATAAATACTTACACAAGAATCTTCCAAGCAAAGTTTCCATGAAACAAAGGACAAGAACTACACTTGATTCCAACTATGCTTCATCTGACTATATTTCCCATACTAGGAACTTTTATCCCCTCGTTAAGCTATTCCACGCACTCAGGAATTGGAAGTTAAACTGACTTTCCCAAATCTTTAGTAGTGTTAACAATGGATGTTAGGGTAAGAGAGACCAAAAACTGGATGTAACACCCTCCTCTCTCCTGGTGATTTATTAGGTACTAGCTGTGCCCTGCCACGCATTGCTGTGGCCTATAGTAAGAATTTTCAAAGTAGAGGTAGATATCTGGACTATTATGAAAGAGAGGTACCAACCCATTCCTTCCCCCCTTTTCCTTCCCCTTTCTCTCCTTTCGTCCTTCTCTAACTCTTTTTTTCATTCCTTCTTTCGCTCTTTGGTTTCATCCTTCCTTCTCTCTTTGCTTCCTTTTCTCCCCTTTCTCTACTTCCTTTGTCTCCTTTCTTCCCTCCCTGTTTCCTTCTTTCACTTTTTATTTCCTTTTCTCCTTCCTTCTTTACTTCTTTCCTGCATTTCCCTCCTTTTTCTTTCCTTTTTACTTTTCTTCTTCCTTCCTTTGGTACTTCTTTCTTTCCTTCCTTCCTTCCTTCCCTCCTTCCTTCTTTCCCTCCCTCCTTTTCTCTTTCCTTCCTTCCCTCCTCTTTTCCCTCCTTCAGTCCTTCCCTTTTTCCCTCCCTCCTTTCTTCTCTCCTTCCTTCCTCTCTGTTCTCCCCCAATTCCATGGTAGAGTCCCTTCTAAATCTATTCTATGAGTCTATTTAATATAGTAATATATAGTAGTAACATTATATTATATGTTGTTGTTCATTCGTTCAGTCGTCTCTGACTCTTCGTGACCTCATGGACCAGCCCACGCCAGAGCTCCCTGTCGGCTGTCACCACCCCCAGGGTCTCCTTCAAAGTCAGTCCAGTCACTTCAAGGATGCCATCCATCCATCTTGCCCTTGGTCGGCCCCTCTTCCTTTTGCCTTCCACTTCCCCAGTAGTATAATAATATACTACTATATTATATAGTATATATATATATATATATATATATATATATATATATATATATGTATATGTATTATACAGCAATATATATAATAGTAATATATAAAGTATTATATATATAGAAAGGAGTTGCAATCCATCACCTTTGAAAAGCTCAAGGAATCACTCTGCACATGCTCAGAGGCACCCAGCAATTCCAAGAATCTTTGCCCACAAAACTTCTCCAATTGCAGGCCTCAGCCCCCAATCTCAGGCTCCTGCCTCTCACCTTTTCTCCTCCAAACAGGAGCCTCCTCTGCAGTAAATAAAGCTTTTGGTCACTCTTGCTGGCCCTGGAGAGTGGTGGGCGGGGTAATCCTTAGCTTTCCCCCCCCCCTCCCCAGGAGCCATGTGACACAAACTTAAAGTTAGCATGGGGCTGGAAGCCTGCAGAGCCATAGCCAGGAATCCGGTGGATGCTTCAGGGAGAGAGAGAGAGAGAGAGACAGAGAGGAGAGTCCATCTCCCTTCCTACTGTTCCTCCCTCCCTCTCTCTGCCTCTTTTGCTTCTGCTGCTTCCTCTGATATGTTGGAGCATGGAGAATCCAAAAAAGAAGGGCATTGCTGCAGAGTGAAGGCACAAAGTAAATCTAAAGTGTTGTTTACCTCTTTTTGTTTGTTCTTTCCCCTCAGCTCCTAATGTGCCTCCCCCCATCCCTCCTTTCCTTCAGTTGCAAGTTTACTCCTCCTTGGAAGAGGAGGAGGAGGGAGCCCGGCCTCCTCTGCACCTGCCGGAGTGCTGCTGCCTGAGGAAGCACTGAAGCACTTCTTGGGGGGACGGGACTCACCCTTCTCCACACCCCATAGTTTGAGGACCCCTGATGTAAAGGATAGTACAGGGTAGCAGGCCTGCGGGGATGAGGGCTTTTCCTCCAGCTCTTGAAGGGAGGGCCTCCATGGGAGCCTGCTGGGCATGCACACTCGCTGCTGGCCATGCACGTGCACTCCTTCCCTCCCCCTCCCTCCCTGAGGCTTACAGTGGGGTGGGGGGAGGGAGGGGGAAGTGTTTTTTTTTGGGGGGGGGGGTTGAGTGGAGAACATACATTGGGTTGTTAAGTGTATTGTGTCCAAATTTGGTGCCAATTCCCCCAGTGGTTTTTGAGTTCTGATGGTATCACAAACGAACATTACATTTTTATTTATATAAATGTGTTAAAACACATTAAATGGCTAACAACAAGATCATGAATCAATCATCTCCTTCGCCCTCACTTCCCTACTATACATCATGGAAAAGTTTAGCAAAATAAGATCAATAACTTTTGGACTTTCCAAAAACTCTTCTTAGTGATGACTATATGGCGGTCATCATTAAGAAGAGGAACATGAAGGTGACAGAAAGTCCCCAAAAAGCCAGTTGTTTACAGGATGCCTTTGTAAACAACCCAATCAGCTCCAAATCAGTACCAACTCAACTATTTACAGTCCTAAAGGAAGCATGCACTCAAGTCTTTGACATCCGGAAGACGAATTGGCTGTGTGCATCTTGTGGACGTGACCAAAACATTCACTCTGCCCCACCTCATAAACACATGGACCGCTATTACCTGCAGGGCTGTCCCTGTCCATCGATCCCAGGCCGAAGGGGTCTCCTCCATCCTCCAGGCGGGAAATGAGGGCCGGCTTCGGGGATCCTGCCAAAGAAACAAGCAGCGAAAAATACTCAAGTTATTCCATGTCTTCCCTGGGTGAATTCCCTCTTCACCCCCAAGGTTACTTGTGACTTATTCCCCATATCCAATGACATGAGGGGTCTGTCCCCTTCGCGTATAACAACCATTACGTATCATCTCCTGATCTCCTCACCTGGGGAGGCGGCGAGGCCGTAGTTCTCCATCATGACCTCCTTGTAGAGGCGCCTCTGCTCCGGACCCAAGAGACCCCACTCCGCCTCGGAGAAGAGCACCGCCACCTCCGCAAAGGAGACACGGACCTACAAGGTGGGGAGAAGAACGAATAGAAAGGTGTTTCAGGAGACAACTACCTCCAAAGAAGGCCCACAAATGCCAAATGGGTGACACTATAGGGTGGGCATGGACCAACTTTGGTCCTCCAGGTGTTTTGGACTTCTACTCCCACAATTGTGGGAGTTGAAGTCCAAAACACCTGGAGGACCAAAGTTGGTCCATGCCTGTTAAATCTATTATTATTATTGACACAACAACACATTATGTCACAGCAAATGAGATATATATGCTGGATTTATTATTTATTTATTTATTTATTTACTATATTTACTATATCTTCTCAGCCCTCAGGCAACTCAGAGCGGTTAACGATAGCAAAATCCAAGGCTCAAAAACATCATAAAACAGTTAAAAACAATTAAAACATCAGCATACAGTCAAAATAAATCAAGTCTCATCATCCAATTGTTCCATATTTCTATATTCGTTACGCTGCCTATTCAAATGCTCGAACAACCAGGTCTTCACTTTCCTCCGAAAGGCCAACAGGGAGGGGGCCCGATCTAATAACTGTAGGAAGAGTGTTTTACAGTCGAGGGGCCACCACTGAGAAGGCCCCGTCTTTCATCCCCGCCAAACGTACTTGTGATGCAGGCGGGACCGAGAGCAGGGCCTCCCCAGACGATCTTAACACCCTAGCTGGTTCATAGGAGGAGATGAGTTCAGATTTCATATCACAATTATTATTGTTATCATTATTATTATTTATTATTATTATTATTATTAAAAGCAGGGCCTCCCCAGACAATCTTAACACCCTAGCTGGTTCATAGGAGGAGATGCGTTCAGATTTCATATCACAATTATTATTGTTATTGTTATTGTTATCATTATTATTATTTATTATTATTATTATTATTATTATTATTATTATTAAGAGCAGGGCCTCCCCAGACGATCTTAACACCCTAGCTGGTTCATAGGAGGAGATGCGTTCAGATTTCATATCACAATTATTATTGTTATTGTTATCATTATTATTAATAATAATAATTATTATTATTAAGAGCAGGGCCTCCCCAGACGATCTTAACGTACTAGCTGGTTCATAGGAGGAGATGCGTTCGGATTTCATATCACAATTATTATTGTTATTGTTATCATTATTATTAATTATTATTATTATTATTATTAGTAGTAGTAGTAGTATTAAGAGCAGGACCTCCCCAGACGATCTTAACACCCTAGCTGGTTCATAGGAGGAGATGCGTTCGGATTTCATACCACAATTATTATTGTTATTGTTATCATTATTATTAATTATTATTATTATTATTATTAGTAGTAGTAGTAGTATTAAGAGCAGGACCTCCCCAGACGATCTTAACACCCTAGCTGGTTCATAGGAGGAGATGCGTTCGGATTTCATATCACAATTATTATTGTTATTGTTATCATTATTATTAATAATAATAATTATTATTATTAAGAGCAGGGCCTCCCCAGACGATCTTAACGTACTAGCTGGTTCATAGGAGGAGATGCGTTCGGATTTCATATCACAATTATTATTGTTGTTGTTATCATTATTATTAATTATTATTATTAGTAGTAGTAGTATTAAGAGCAGGGCCTCCCCAGATGATCTTAACACCCTAGCTGGTTCATAGGAGGAGATGCGTTCGGATTTCATATCACAATTATTATTGTTATTGATTATTATTATTATTATTATTATTATTATTAAGAGCAGGGCCTCCCCAGACGATCTTAACACCCTAGCTGGTTCATAGGAGGAGATGCGTTCAGATTTCATATCACAATTATTATTGTTATTGTTATCATTATTATTATTTATTATTATTATTATTATTATTATTATTATTATTATTAAGAGCAGGGCCTCCCCAGACGATCTTAACACCCTAGCTGGTTCATAGGAGGAGATGCGTTCAGATTTCATATCACAATTATTATTGTTATTGTTATCATTATTATTATTATTTATTATTATTATTATTATTATTATTATTATCATTATTATTAATAATAATTATTATTTATTGTTATTAAGAGCAGGGCCTCCCCAGACAATCTTAACACCCTAGCTGGCTCATAGGAGGAAATGCGTTCAGATTTCATATCACAATTATTATCATTATTGTTATCATTATTATTAATACATTAATAATAATAATAATAATAATAATAATAATAATCACCCAGACTCCTTTCCCAGAAGGCTTTGGGGTTTCCAAACCATGGCCCATTTAGTCACCCTCCTCTGGACACATTTTAGCTAGTCAATATCTTCTTAAATTAGGTGCTGCTTTATTCCAAGGGAAGCCTGAGCAAAGCAGAATGAGGTGCAAAATGCCTTCTCTTCACTGGGAGGCTGTACTGTTTTGTTGCAAAGCTCCATGTACAGCAATGGCACCTCTAGACATGTGCAATATCACCCAGTCCTCATATCCAGAGGAACAAGTATGGTTTCATTTATGAGCTTTCAACAAATGCAGTCCTTTATTATATTATTATTTTAGTATATTGTGTTATGTTATTATTAAGTCTGCCCACGCAAAGCACAACCTGGGGATCACAACCAGACACAGTGAAGACATCTGCCCTTGCGCTATGCTACTCTGCTGCTGAGTACGCATGCCCAGTGTGGAACACATCTCACCACGCTAAAACAGTGGATGTGGACCTCTGAATGAGACATGCCGCATTATCACGGGGTGTCTGCACCCTACACCACTGGAAAAATTACACTGCTTAGCCGGTATTGCACCACCTGACATCCGCTGGGTGTCTGTACACCACTGGAGAAATTACACTGCTTAGCCGGTATTGCACCACCTGACATCCACCGGGAAGTAGCAGCCAATAGTGAAAGGACCAAGGCAGAGACATCTCCAGCCCATGCCTTGTTTGGGTATCACCCAGCACGTCAACGACTGAAATCAAGAAATAGTTTTCTAAGATCTACAGAGACACTCGCTGAAACACCTCAGCAAGCGAGAGTCCAAAAGTGGCAGGCTCAAACCCAGAACCTCAACCAATGGCTGATACCAAATGAGAGACTCCCCACTGGGCGACTGGAAGGCGCTGAACTCTGCGCTCTGGCACCACAAGATGCAGAGCCAACCTTCAGAAATGAGGCCACAAAGTGGAATCCACGACATGCGAGTGTGGAGAAGAGCAAACCACTGACCACCTGCTGCAATGCAACCTGAGCCCTGGGAGGACCTTCTTGCGGCAACACCAGAGGCACTCCAAGTGGCCAGATACTGGTCAAAGGACATTTAATCAACTACCAAGCTTGCAAACTTTGTGTTTTGTTTGTTTGTTTGTTAAAAATGCAATACAACTGTTTGGTCTGCTCCTGACACGATAAATAAATACATTATTTTATGTTATTATATTATGTTATTATTTTATGCTATTATTTCATTTTATTGATATGATCAGCCTGCAGAAAGTCGAAAGCATGGGTGCAGCAGGTGGTGCTGGGGGGAGGAGTCTATTATTATTATTTATTTATTTATTTATTTATTATTTATTTTGGTTGCTTCTACCCCGCCCTTCTCACCCCAGGGGGGGACTCAGGGCGGCTTACAAAAGCGAGGCACAATTTGATGCCCGCATCACATAACAAAAATAGGACAATAACATCCGTTAACAGAACCAGCAATTCTAGCAATAACATATAATTTAATATAATTGTTATATTAATCTATACCCTGCTTTTTCTGCACAAGGAGATGCAAGGCGGCTGTGTATTTAAGGTTCGAAGGGGTTTTATACTAGGGAGGTGGCATTGGGTTATATTAAGTTGTTGTAGGTTTTTCCGGATTATATGGCCATGTTCTAAAGGCATTCTCTCCTGACGTTTTGCCTGCATCTATGGCAAGCATCCTCAGAGGTAGTGAGGCTTGTTGGAACTAGGAGAAAGGGTTTATATATCTGTGGAATGATCAGGGTGGGACAAAGGACTCTTGTCTGCTGGAGCTAGGTGTGAATGTTTCAACTGACCACCTTGATTAGCATTTGATGGCTTGGCAGTGCCTGGGGGAATCTTTTGTTGAGAGGTGATTAGATGTGCCTGATTGTTTACTCTCAGTTATAATTTTAGAGTTTTTTAATATTGGTAGCCAGATTTTGTTCATTATTGATGAAATTAATTTATCTCTGGTTTAACTTTGGCAATTATGTTTTAATTTTGTATGGTATGGTGTACATGTTGTAAGCCACTTGCGGAGAAAGGCGGGGTAGAAATATCATTTTGACATATATATGAGGCATGGGCAAACTTGGGCCCTCCAGGTGTTTTGCACTGCAACTCCCATAATTCCTAATAGGCAGAAGGCCCAAGTTTTCCCATGCCTGATATAGAGGTTGTTTTTGTTGTTATTATCATTATCAGCCTTCCTGCAGTTGTCACAAAGAGAGAAGCTAGAGAGCTTTCTGCTTTCTCACCAGGTTCCCTTGAGATCCTCCAGTGAGACCCCAAATAAGGGGGTCAGGGGTCTCCGTTGTGGCCCTTTCCTCCAAATCCTCAACTAAAGGACATCTGGAGAGGGCCTTCGAGGCCATTTCGCAACCTGAAGAAAGGAGAGAACAGAAGATGAATTGAAATACACACACACACCCTAGCTGTACCAGCCACGAGTTGCTGTGGCCAACCTTCCCTCCCTCTTTCTCTCCTTTTTTCTTTCTCTCCTTCCCTCTTTTTCTTTCTCTTCTTCTTTCTTCCTTCTCTCCTTTTCTTTCTCGCTTCCTTTGCTCTTTGGTTCCATCCTTCCTTGTCTCCTTCCTTCCTTCCCTCTTTCTCTCTTTTGTTCCTTTTCTCCTTTCTTCCTTCTTTCACTTTTTTATTTCCTTCTCTCCTTTCCTTCCTTCTCTACCTTTCTTTCTTTCCTTCTCTCCTTCTTTCTCTCTTTCTCTCCCTCCTTCTCCCCTTCCTTCCTTCCTTCCTCCCCCCTTTCTGTGTATGTGTTTCGTGTGTGCATATATGTGTGTGTATATTGTGTATATATTTGTGTATATGTGTATATATGTGTGTTTGTGTACATATGTGGTTTTGCACATGCGCCTCCCTCCTTCTCTCCTTCCTTCTCTACCTTTATTTCCTTCTCCTTCCCTCCTTCTTTCCCTCTTTTTCTCCCTCCTTCTCTCCTTCCTTCTCTACCCTTTCTTTCTTTCCTTCTCTCCTTCTTCCTTCCTTCCTTCCTTCTTTCTGTGTATATGCTTTGTGTGTGTATATGCATATATGTGTGTATATATGTGTGTCTGTGTATATATAAGTGGTTTTGCACATGCGTTGTAATTTTTTGGGGTTTTTTGGCTTTTTAAGTCCCTTCTGCTATGTTTTTCAGAGTTTTTATGGGTGATGGTCACTCATTGGCCTGCGAGGTGTCTTGTGTCCAAATTTGGTGTCAGTTCATCCAGTGGTTTTTGAATTATGCTAATCCCACAAACTAACATTACACACACACACACACATTTATTTATTTATTTCAGGCATTTGTACCCTGCCCTTCTCACCCCTGCCCTTCTCACCCACACACACACACACACATGCATACACATGTGCGTGTGTGTGTGTGTGTGTGTGTGTGTATATATATATATCCTTGTAGTGACTAGCTTGACTTGGAAGGAGCTGGGAGTGGTGACAGCCAACAAGGAGCTCTGGCATAGGCAGGTCCATGAGGTCGCGAAGAGTTGGAAGCGACTGAACAAATGAACAACAATACACACACCCATTGAATCAATGATCTATATAAATAAAAATGTAATGTTCGTTTGTGGGGTTAACATAATTCAAAAACCACTTGACGAATAGACACCAAATTTGGACACAAGACACCTCTCAGGCCAACGAGTGACCATCAGTCATAAAAACACTGAAAAACACAGTGGGAGACACCTAAAAAGCCAAAAAAAAATACATTACAGCACATTCACAGAACGACATATATACACATACATACACACACACAAAACACATATACACAGACTGGGCCACAGCAACACATGGCAGGGGACGGCTAGTGTTTGTGTGTGTGTGTGTGTGTGTGTGGCATGTCACTCACCAGCTAAATTCCAAAGGCCTCTTTTGATTTGAAGAACTTTGTCTTGCCAGTGAAAAGGATTCTGTGATCTGAAAAGGAGCCAAAGTGTTTATTTCATTCAGAGTATTCAACTTCCTATCAATAAAGGGACTATGAATAATATGAGGATTATTATTAATATAAAATTCATATATGTGTGTGTGTCAATTGTATATATAACATTGTAATGTAATAATACTAATATATTACATATTTTGTTAATGTTGTATATATTATATAATTATATATTATTTTGGGAGCCCCCGGTGGCGCAGTGGGTTAAAGCACTGAGCTGCTGAGCTTGTTGACCAAAAGGTCGCAGGTTCAATTCCGGGGAGCGGCGTGAGCTTCCGCTGTCAGCCCTAGCTTCTGCCAACCTAGCAGTTCGAAAACATGCAAATGTGAGTAGATCAATAGGTACCGCTCTGGCGGGAAGGTAAGGGCGCTCCATGCAGTCATGCCGGCCACATGACCTTGGAGGTGTCTACGGACAACGCTGGCTCTTCGGCTTAGAAATGGAGATGAGCACCACACCCCAGAGTCAGACATGACTGGACTTAATGTCAGGGGACTACCTTTACCTTTACCTTATATATTATTTTAATACATTATATATTATATATGCTGCAACTTACAATATCATTATAGTATTATTTTAATACATTAGTATATAGTATTATTTTAATACATTATATATTACATATGCTACAACTTATTTCTCTGGTTGAACTAGTCTGCAGTGCCTTTCATGTTCCTTGACTCCTTCAGCAGACAAGAGTCCTTTGCCCCACCCTGGTCATTCCACAGATATTATAAACCCTTTTTCCTAGTTCCAAGAGACCTCACTACCTCTGAGGATGCTTGCCATAGATGCAGGCGAAACGTCAGGAGAGAATGCCTCTAGACATGGCCATACAGCCCGAAAAAACCCACAAGAACCTAGTGATTCCAGCCATGAAAGCCTTTGACAATACATTGAACATTACATTTTTATTTATATAGATAGATAGAGAGAGACAAGAAGAAATACAGTTTGCCCTCCAGCATCAAGGCATGACATAGATTAGAAAGCCAACAACTTTCTCATTACTTTATTTTCCTGATCACCAGGCTGGGCCACAGCAACGCCTGCCAGGGGACACATAATAATAAAAACAATAGCAATATTTATTTTATTTATTTATTTACTTTACTTATATACCGCTGTTCTCAGCCCGAAGGCGACTCACAGCGGTTCACAACAAATAAGAACAGCAAAAATTCAATGCTACAGTGTAAAAACAGTTAACAACCTAACATATTACATAATTAATAAACAATTACTACAATAACCATTCATGTCTCTCTCTGTCTCTTTCTCTCTCTCTTCTTCTTTCCACTCTTTTTCTCTTCTTCTTCATTTCTTCTCTTCTTTCTCTCTTTTTCTCTTCCAGTTCTCTCTCTCTCTCTTCTTTTTCTTCATCATCATCTTCTTCTTCTTCTCTTCTTCCTTCTTTTCTCTTCCTCTTCTTCTTCTC